ATCCACGTTTCAAACAGGATCCCAATCATAGTCATTGCAGATTACAATATTTTTCAATATACATACCAGAGGTAATAAAGCAGAAGACTTAAGTTTAATATTACAAACCAGTTGTTTCAAACTTACATAACCATAAGTGTCATACAACCATAGTAGCGGGATAATATTACATTAACATTATTTATTTCACACAAACTAGTGCCTTGTCCAAAGGCCATTCATCATTCCTCATCGTCATCGACTTCATACACTGACATGCAGCAGGGACCAAAACAAGCCTGCGCATGCGACTCACCTGCAACAAGGGTTAACAAACCCTGAGTACAAAAGTACTCAACAAGACTGACCCAACCAAAAAAGGGTGAAGGTCTTAGGGGTGCAGGTGTTGGGTCAAGGTAAGGATGTAGAAAGATTCAAAAGTTCTTTGCCAAAAGCGTACTATTCTTGATTCTATTTTCAAGTTTTTTCCCTAAGTACTTTAGTTCAATATTTCAAACTAAGTGTTCATATCCCATGTTCCAATCCATCTCATTCCATTCCTTTTCTCAAGTTTTAGTAATTCACCAGTCCTACATTGCTTCTGTAATGAATCGAGTCTCCATATCCACGGAGCACCGGCAATTTGAATTGATTCAAGTCCCAGCTGGGGATTCCTTATCACACGACATATGTAGAACTTAATCTTGCATATATCAACCTCGCTACCGGATCCTCTCGTACTAAGCCGTCTCCACGCCACCCGAGAGCACAGCACACCTCAAATCTGGCCATATTCAAGCCACGAGGGTACACGCTACTCCCGTCATCTCACCACTCCCAGTGCGTGGGCATTCGTCTTAGTATCGGATTAGCCGAAGTAGGCTTACCGAAGTATGTGACTAGTACTACAAAGTGTCTCGTTCAGAAGATCCACAATGAGTGGCCTTTAAGCGACATAGTCGGTAACATTACCCAACATTCAAGATAAGCCACCCGACTAGTCTCTAGTTCATTCTATCTTCTTTCTTTCTTTCTTTGGCCAGTATGCCATCTTTTATTGTATCAAAACTTTTACTTTGAAAAGCCTACCATAAAGCATACTAAGCAATTCTATGCCTTTGTAAATGAAATCATCTTCAAGGATGGTAAACAATTAACAAGGTAGGCAATGCATCAAGTAGGTAACATTTGAATAAATCAACTTAATGCAATAAGTAACATAGGTGATAAACTTTTTAAAGTAAACAAGGGAATGGTTTAATGCATAAACCGGGACTTGCCTTCGTTGACGATCTCAGGTTCCGAATCAGTACCACAATTACCAAATTCCGCGACAACCGGGTATTCTTCCAGCACTTGTTCAACTAGAATCGTTTTACTCTCGGGTTCTACACGAAATGATAACATATGCTTTAACATGATGATAATGTAAACATGATGCTTTCACGGTACATAAAATGAAACAACACCCCGAATATGATTTTCCTTCACGGTACAGTTGTAAGCCAACAAAACCAACTTGCAATTCTACCGACAAGAACCACACATGTGACTTGACCAAACTGATCTTGAAACCCTACTGGTCACACAACATGACCCAACCAAAAAAATTAAACCCTAACCCTAACAATTAGGGTTGCTTTTATTAACTTTTTAATTAATTTAAAATAAGCCAAAAAATAAACTTGTTCCAAATGACCTCAAAATTTTATGTAAGCTTCCTCATAACAAATTAGTGTACTAAAATAAATTTCATAATTTTTGGAGCTATACAGTGGCCTACAAAAATCATGGAAATTGTATTTATTAATTAATGGACTAAATTTTTGAACATTAAAAATTTATTCAAATTTTAAGTTTCAAATTTTTAAACCATACTAGAGCATGTACAGAAGCTACACACAAAATTTCAAAATTTTTGGAGCTATGATTATTTTCCTACAAATTTCCAAAGATTTAGCACTATTCAAAATTTCAGAAATTACAAAATTGCACTGTTCTTCTTCCTCTCTCGTACTGACAGCCAGGCCCCGCTTGTCAGTGACCTAAAGAGGACGCTTGGCGCTTCTCTGCTCCCGATCGGCAAAAGCAGCCGCAGGAAGCTCTGGCGAAACAGACCGCACCTTCATGACCTACTCTTTCCCCGAACCGATCTCGGCTATCGATCGAAAGGAAAAAGGTGCACCGAGACACCTCCACGCCGGGCATGGCGGCTTGGACTCGGCGACGGTCGGCGTAGCTACTGGCTACGGTGCATGAGAGTCAAAAGAAGAGCGAGCATCACGCTCGAGGAGCTCACCGTGATCACGATGGTGTACTTGGTGCGGCGGAGCGTCTTGAATCACCATAGCCACGCGGTGAGGTGGGTCGCGGCGAGCCTCGGTAGCTCAAGAAGACGATGTCGTCATGGTGTCGCCGACCGGCTAAAACGAGACGAGCGGTCGGGAATGAGCGGCGGCGGCGGCGGAGCTGTCGGCGTAGCTAGGCACGACCGACGTGGCTCGGCGATGGCTACTGGCGGCGGCGAGCTCTGTGATGTGAAGCGAGCGAAGGGGAAAAGCAGGGACGATGGCGGCGATTACTATTTATAGCCGGGAAGGGTTGCCGGCGTCGACAACAAGCCTTCGAGCCCGCCATGGCACCGATTGCATGTCAACAGCAGAAAAGCGGCGCCAAAACGCTCGGCGGCGGCAATCTGCGTATAGCCGTGATGGCAGCGATGTCCATCTTGATTTTTGAGTTATTTACGAATCGCCACTTTGAGTCTATTTTTAAATTACTCTCAAATTTTTTAAAGAAGTTGAAAATCTTCAAAAATGAAAGTTGTTGAATTTTTCAAACTCTGCAACTTTGCTTCAAGGAACATTTTCAAATTCTGCCTCCATTTTGAAATTTGAATTTGGGGTGCATTTGAGTATTTGAATCATTTCAAAATTACTCCAAATTTTATATGTAAACTTTGAAAACTTTGAATACCAAAGTTGATCCTTATAAAATAATCTCCAACTTTGCTTTTTGCCTCAACCCCAAATTCCATATGGATTTTGAATTAGTCAAAAGGGGCAAAAATGACTTTTAAAATTTGAATTTGAATTCAAATTTGATTTGTCTTCCTTTTACTTACATTTTGATTTTTGACCAGTAACATGGCCCATTAGGGTTATTTGAGTTAAAGGACACATGACCTCACATGATCACATGAATTTTGACCCTTGTGGTCATGATCTTTATTTAGGGTTTTGAATCGCATCACATGAAATAACAACATTATGAAATAAAGTTTATTAGTGAATGCATTCAAAATTTTCTACTTTATGAATGATTTGCAATGCATATGATGACATGCTAAGTTTTAGTTCTAGGTCCAAACACCAGAAGTGTTACAGAGAGGAGGGAGCGGAAGGGATAAGAATGTTGTTTCTTTTTTGTTAGAACGGTTATGGGTGAGGACGAGTGGATGAGCGGTCGTTAGGCTGCGTTACAGTCCACCATCAACACCGTCCGTCCGGACGGATGCCCTATGCCCAGCGTTACCGGGGAAAAAAGGAGTGTTGCAATTGCAAATCCCACACGCCGGCACTCAAGGAATGCGGGGCAACAGGATACATAGTGTGTATGGGAATCGGGAAAGACAAGGAAATCTGACGTGAGTTGACCAGCCCGAATCACAAAGCTAATCCGGGCGGATGAGATAGTATATGGGGCCAAATTATTGCCACAATTGAATTTCTTCAGAGACACCACAACATGGAATGGAGTCAATGCCTCATCGAGTGGAAACTGCAAAAAAAAAAAAAAAAAAAAAATCCCGCGAACTTGCGGTAATAAAGAAACTCTTGCACATCTTAGACGGTCTCTAACAACTTACCCAAACGGCGACGCAAACCTAAAATGGGGTATGCATAGTGTTTTTTGCGGTAGAAAAAACGACTCCAACAGAACACTCAAACAGAGCATGCATTTTGGGTACGAAGTCAGCCGGAACGCTTATCTGCGTCGTCTTTCACCGAGACACAAAGTCTCCAGGCGGGACCGTGGCGGGGCGGGGCCAGCTCGGCGAGGCGTGCTCGCCGTGGGAGCACCTCCGAGCCGCCGGCCTTGGTTGCCTCGCTGGATCTGGGACCGCTCCCTCGCCGTGGGAGCACCTCCGAAGCGCGGCAAGGCGGGCCCGACGACGACGACGACGGCGAGGTGAGGAGGGAGGCGGGCGGCGCTCACCGGATCTCGTAGGGAGGGAGGGAGGCCGTGCGGAGGAGGGAGCTCGCCGGCGGGGAGGGAGGCGGGCGGAGCTCGGCGGGGAGGGAGGCCAGGGCGCTCGACCGGCATGGATTCGGCCGCCTGCTCGTCGATCTGGCCGCCTGCTCGTTGGATCTGCTCACCGCGCGGAGCTTGAGGTAGAGAGGAGAGAGGGCGCGCTGGATCCGCCGGAGGGAAAGAGGAGGGAGCGCCGGCCGGCCTCCTAGGGTTGCCGCGCCAGCCCGAAACGCCAGCCAGCAAGCGAACTGGGCACGCCATCATCAGAAGAGGAGGAGCAGCAGATGGCCCACCCGCCGCCGATCGTCCGGCCGCTGCTTGAGGGAAGCGGGGGCCCGTCGGTGCGGATCTGAGGGTCCCTCGTCGGCGCCCGATCTTTGGAAGGAGGGAGAGCGCAGCAGAGCCGCTGGCGGCGTTGCAGCCGGGGAAGTCGTAGCGTGAAGAATAGGTGCGGCCCTCTTAGCTGTTGGAGAAGGCTAAGTTTTGGGTCCGCGAGTCTTTTTCTGTACGTGACTCAAATCGTGAATAGGTATCGCGTTTGGGTTCCCGTTGCTGGAGACAGTCTTATTGGACCTGATGACTCATCAGCTGCAAATGTTACAGTCCCGCTCGACAACAGAACAAAGTTCGTTGGTACACAATGCACAGACGACACCACGAAGACGAAACAAAACACACCACACGCACACATGAAGGGAGGGAAAAAAATCGCTCCATCGAGCTCAGCAGCAGCAGCAGCAGCAGGCAGCAGCTAGCGCTCACATTGATCATTTGCCGGCGCCCACCAAGGAGAGCAGCGCGTCCCTGTAGTGCCCGTGCGCCTTGGCCGCGATGGCGTCCTCCAGCTTGGCCCCGAACTGCTGGTGGTAGGCGGCTCTGATGTCGTCCATGTCGTGGTCCGACCGCGTCACGGCCACCCTCGTCAGGGCCTCCTTCGCGTGGTGGTCCGCGCCGTCCCTCAGCGCGCCCTCGATCACCTGGCTGAAGTACTTGGCCGGCGCGGCGAGGCACAGCACGGTCTCCAGCAGGGTCTCCTCCCCGCTGCTCTGGCTCAGGTCCTCCTCCACGTGCCTGCCGTGCATCTCCTTGTAGTACTTGAAGGTCTCCACGAGGTGGGGCTTGCTCCTGGTGGTCAGGATCCGGACCACCTCGTCGTTCTCCACCAGCTTCTTCCCGGAGCCGCCGCCGCCATCCGCGCTCTTCGCGGCGGCGCCCAGTGCCTTGGCCTCCGCCTTCGCCACCTCCTCGTTCACCCGCGGACCCTCGTACCGGTACGCGGTCACCAGCCCGACCAGCAGCTGCACGCATGCAAACATTGAGCTTTGTTACCAGAGCATCATCATCAGAAGCGGCGGTGCTCATCAGTCAGTCATCAGTGCTCACGCTGCAGTAGGGCTTGTCCCTGGCGCGGTACGCGACGTCCTCTTCGAGGGAGTGGTGGAAGAGCGCCTGGTACGCCCGGCGCGCGCCCAGCAGCTCGTCGGCGGACCGCGTGCAGGCCACCTCCACGACGATGGCGGCCGGGTGCTGCTGGTGGAGGACGTGGTGCGCCAGCCGGGCGTCGCGCTCCCACGGATGCATCGCCCACAGCACCATCAGGTTCTTGAACCGCGCGAACTCGGCGGCCAGGTGCAGCATGTACTCCTCCTCGCACCGGTCGATCTCGCCGTGGCTCTTGAAGAAGCCCGGGAAGCCCTTGCGGAACCCGGACCGCTTCTCGGGCTGCTTGCGCCACCGCGCCAGCGCCGACACCATCGTCGGCTCATCCACGCCGAGCCCGCCAAGGCCTTCATACACAAATAACAAATTCATTCTGAGAAACGACGGCGACAAAAGGAAAGGAAAGGATCATCCAAGTATTTTCAGTTCAGTGATGCCAACCTGAGAAGGCCCTGTTCAGCTGCTGAACTTCGTCGGCCATTGCCTGAATCTCCAACAAAACCGGAGCAGAGGAGACGATGAGTGATGAGGAACAGAGGATTGCTGTGTGCTCTGGTTTGCTTCTCGAGTTCTTGTGGATGATCTTTATACTGCAATGCAAACCGTGTGTTTTGGAATACAAGGGCAATGCTGGCAATTCGATATGTCTGCTTTCACATATACGTATATAATCTCTGCAGCCAATTATGAAAGGGCCGTCAATAGTTTACACATGTGTAGGTATGGTCAACCGTTGATTTAGGGACACCTCTCAACCGGTTTTTTTGCCATAGGATGGCGTTTGATCCTCCTCGCCCGTCCTCCCTTAGCCGTCAATAGAGAACCAACCGGATAACTTCGACCTCGTGGTCGCCCCCGCCGTTCCCCACGGCTTCTCTCGAGGGAGCCGCGTAGGCGGCCTGCTCGCCCAGGCTGCGTGTCCACCGCCGAGTAGTGCAACGTGAAAGTGAGCAAAGGAGAGAGGGACTGCTCGTGGGGGCCCGCACCGGTTGACCAAGAGTGGAGCAGAGGCGCTACTCCCTCCGTTTCTTTCTGCGCGAGAGGCCGGCGCCGTTTCGTTTTGCCTGGGGACGCGTGTGCACGGACGTCTCCGGCGCCGCCCCTTCTTGTTGCAGCAGTTTTGTGTGGATTTTGTATATTTTTCTGAATTTTGTGAAGAATTTGTGAATAATTTGACATATATTTCTTTGGTGTCTGGAATCCATAAAAAATAATTTGTATTTTTTTTGAAAAATTTGGCATATATTTATGCTATTCCCAAATTATACCACTCTGTCCAATAAATTACACCGAAGAAATCATTGTAAATACAGTAATAAGTCGGTGTAAATATAGCTATAAGATAGTGTAAGTGCATAGAAAAAATTCAGTTGATGCAAGGGGCTAAATCAACCAGTTGTTGGCTAGACAGACCCATAATGGTTAACCGGTTAATTTAGAGACATCTCTCAACCGTTTTTTTTTTGCCATCGGATGGCATTCGGTCCTCCCGTCCTCCCTCAGCCGTCGATAGAGAACCAACCTGATAAATTTGGCCTCGTGGTCGCCCTCGCCGTTCCCCACGGCTTCTCTCGAGGGAGCCGCGTAGGCAGCCTGCTCACCCAGGCTGCGTGTCCACCGTCGAGTAGTGCGTGTATGTGAGCGAAGGAGAGAGGAACTGCTCGTGAGGGCCGCGCCGGTTGACCAAGAGTGAGCAGAGGCGCTGATCCCTCCGTTTCTTTCTGCGTGAGAGGCCGGCGGGCAGAAAAAATAAACTAATTGACAGCTCAAGGACTGATCGACGGGTTGGTGTGCGCCATCCAAATCGTCGTGCAACACGGGGAGCCGTTGGGGAGGTGTGACTATGCGAGATGAGGACTGCAATAATGCACAGAGAGTATAGCTGATCTCCATTGTTTATTACAGGCTCAGGAAATAACCGACTCACAGTCTTGCTGAATTCTTAAGGTTTAGCAAAGTTTTAGCACAAAATTTACTGCATTTATCTTCAAACGCTCCAGCTTGCCGCTTGGAATTATAAGGTTTGGTGTTTGCTACTCCATGATGATTTTAGTGCGCTGCCCCTATAAAATGTTTTATATCAACAACATGTATAGTCCACCTAACATTTTCAGCTAAGTAATGCTAAGAGAATTCAATATACGATAAAGTTAAATATAAGGTAAAGATAAGCAATAGCAAGAAGAAATGCGTTAAATGAAAAACCTGTAGCAGATCTAAACCACATGAAAGGCCCCATCTACTTAATCATGAATATGCAGGAGCACATCACATGAGCAGGCCAGGGACGGCCTCGTTCGGCTTGCTGAATCTTGGCTGAAAAACACTGTTCTGACTGAAATGTTGTGAGACAAAAACACTGTTCCGGCTGAAAAAAGAAGCCGAACAAGCCGGATATGGGGTAAGCCGAACAGGGTGTTCAGTCCCATCGTTATCATGGTCCATTGCATGCAATTGTTTTGATCCTTATGTCACCATTCTAATCGATTGGGAACATTAGGATATCTGATGCACTGGACAACTCTACTTCCTATCTCATTTTGAATACAAATAGAGCTCCCTTCTATGAAGAAGCCGGAACTATTTGAAAAGGAAGGATGTATATAATAAGTTGGCTGATTTTAAAAACTACAGGAGATTTTATATGGACTGAACCCTGACATGAGAAATTATGATCCAAGTATTACTTTATTTTCGTCAAAGAATGAGCAAAGGCTAATAAATTGCTAATGCAAGCAGTACAGACCACAGTCCAGCTTGTCATCCTTATCATCGCCAACAGCTAGCATGGCAGCAGCATTACTTATTGCCATCTAATCATGGTTGGTTTGCGTCGCGTTCACGTAGTTAGGACATATGCTCCTCAAATATGATCACAGGATGTGTTGTTTTGCGAAGAAATTTGAGAAGAGCCGCGAAACAACTCCTGTTTGTAGCGTCTGTTACAAGGTAAATGACCAGCAACAGCAACTCCATTGTGCCTTGTGCGGTGCCTTGTTGTCTTTGGCTCATTGAAGCCAAATCATGCAGCAGATTTTATCAATGCCGTATCACAAATCGCCATTCCATGTCAGCAATAATGGCTATGCTGGCCTGAGCTACAAGATTTAGATGAAAAGGAATTTCAGAGAAACAAATTCATGTCCACAGCCTGTTTATTCGTTTGGCCTGGTTTGACTTATAAGCCATGGCTGAAAGTACTGTCGGTTGGTTTGGTGCGAGAGAAAAATAATGTTCATTGGTTGATAAGCCATGGCTTATAAGTCAAATACGACCAAGCGAACATGTCAGTGGTCTTGATCGCTCACATTATTATTACTGACGTGTTTGAAAGCAAAGGTGTGAAAAGGGACACTCTTGTCAGAAGCTTCTAGCATGCTCATCAGAACTACAAAGACCACATTTCGCCTACGTGAGAAACTTGCAGTACTGTCACGGATAAGCAAGCACCCATCGTCACGTACAACAACTGGGGCCAACAATGTCTCCCCTTCAAATGATCAAATCGTGGGCAAATGAGTTCATTAGCCATCGAGGTTGGGTAGGCCACCCTCTCAAATCTCAATCATGGAGGAGGGCAATGGCCGCACGGGGAAGGACTATACGATCTGTGACATGCGAACGAACAGATCACCACCAATAATTTCAGAGAAAAGAAAAAAGAAAAAAAAAACTGAGCTGTTGATCTGTTTGCACAAGAAAACATTGGCCATTAGCCACATAGCTTGGCTTGTGCATTTTGCTAATGACTAGTGGTTGCCTAGTTGCCCGCTTATCAGTTTGCTGTGTGTTGGCGACCAGATTATTTAACTCTGTCTGCAACTTTTTGAGTTGAAAACCATTAGCCAGATGCTTGTGATCCGCAAGAACATTATAATATTTTGGAGATGGTGAGCAGATGGTCTATTGTCAACTCCAGTATCGCCACTGTATCTGTATGATTGATATTTTTTTTAATATGGTTTCTCAAACACTAGTGTGAGAACTATTGGAGAAAACAAGACAGATGAAGCTGTCTAATTGCTTTGGCGCTAAGATTTTGGTTGTTGCGTTGCATGCAGTCCCTATTGAAAAAGAACTTTGAAAGTGACTCAAGTGACAGGGAAAGAGGACTAATAAACAAGTGTGTACGTTTCACATGCAGAGCAAAAATTATGATGTGCTGAAGGAGCAGCGGTGTGAAACATGCAAGCCAGCGGACAGATGTTGGAAAGGTTATTAATATTGTTTGTTCTCAAGCCCATGATATTCCTTCTTGTATTCCATAAGCTAAAAGGTTAAATGCATATCTTTACACGATGAGCTTTCCTCCGCTTTTATTGAAATCCTGTTTTACCTTTTAAGTCCCTTTAATTTTGATGACAAAACCTTATGGGCTAAGCAACGATCTATGTTTTCGAAGTTTTCACCATTTCCCTTTTGTTATTAGACATCATTTTCTGCATTCCCTGTCCTGCTTAGCAAGGAAGGTAAGTTTTCTTTTCTCTCTGAGCAGACAAATAGTTTATTACTAGACTCTACTCAAACAACACACCTTTTGCTCAGTGCCAATGTATAACAAACTATCAAACCTTGCTCAAACAAGGCGCCTGTAGCTCAGTGGATAGAGCGTCTGTTTCCTAAGCAGAAGGCCGTAGGTTCGACCCCTACCTGGCGCGTTTCCTTGCAGTTCAAAGATCCAATGGTTGAAATTTTGATGCAGCTAGTTTGTATTTTTTTTCCTCGCGTTATAAAATTTTGATGCGTTTATTTTTACCTTTTTTAAAATTTTCCTTGCAGTTCAAAGATCCAATGGTTGAAATTTTGATGCAGCTAGTTTGTATTTTTTTCTCTCGTTATAAAATTCTGATGCAGTTCAAACAGCCAATGGTTGCTGGATTATTATTCTAATATGGTTCAATAGCCTTATAAGATTTGGGAGCAGGCCTGGCTCAGGAGGGGGTGAAAGGTGGCTTCGGATTAAAAAACTGAGCTAAAAAAAACAAGGTGAAAATTAATTGGCTTTTAGAGCAGGGCAAGAACACCATTCTCCAGAACAAAGGTGGGCCTAAAATTTGAAGAACATGTATTCAACTTAATTTTTTAACATGTATAATTGGTTGTACTTTTAAAATACTACTGATCAGCAAAATAATGGGAATTCGATGAATCCCTGCTTTAGACCTTGTTTGATTAATGATGAATAAATGAATTAAAGAAAAATAAAAAAATTAAAAATATGATACTTACCCTTGACCATATCCTAATCATCTCGAATTTCACTGATGGTTTATTAAGTATGTTTGACTTGATAAAGTTTGCTTAAATTTAAAATATTTACAAACTTTGTTATAAAATTCTTTTAAAATGTTGTCTGAATATTTAATATCAAAATGGAGGTTGAATTCATAGAAGGTCCAAAAACATAGGTGTAAATTCACATGAGAAAACTAGTCTTTTTTAGTTGAACTTACCATGCCAACTCCTCTAAATCAAATAGCGGTAAACTATGCCTTGGCTTTGAAAAAGTAGGGGCACTAAAAATTTGATGCAGTTCGTTTATCTATTTTTAATTCTGTTTGGGTTATAAAATTCGGATGCAGTTCAAACAACCAACGGTTGGTGGATTATTATATTCTAATATGGTCAAATAGGATTGAACAAGTGTGAATAACATGTCCGGCAACGACAAGCTTTATTATAGTTATAGGCATACATATTTGATATTAGCAAAAATAATTACTATAACTGCAAACCCCTAAAAACATCCCTGGACTGAGCTGTACGAGTACACAGCGAGCCCCACTAGCCAAGGCTGTCGATCTCAATTTGGATCACATTATTCTCGTAGTAGCAATTAGCCTAAAAATGAATCGAAACAACATCATCATCGTCAACCACGTCAGGGAACACACACCATGAAAAATTGGCACAGCTCATCCTAGGTGGTGGAGCTTTGGGGGTCTCTAGGCGTGTGCCATGTGTTGCTGGTGCTGCTGCCTGGAGTGTATCCAAAACATCCCTCCCCTCAACCTTCTCTTCATCCACTTCTCCGACCCAAGCTCTCCCAGGTGAAGCAGGAGTAGCACCTGCCTCCATGGCCTCCATCTCGATCCCTTCCGCAACCGAAGACGCCGAGAACATTAGGAAAGCAGTGCAAGGTATTTCGAGCTGTAAACAGTGAATTGTGCAATGCTGTATCGTCGTCTCCTTGTTTTGTTGCTGTTTTGAGAAATTGGAATTGGAATGTTCTAGTCTTTGAGAATTGGGAGGTTACTGTTGATTCCCTGATCAAGAACAGAGCTGCCTCCTGACATGGAAAATAATAATCCTCTCATGGACTCACTCAACTTGGGACAGGATGGGGCACGGACGAGAAGGCGCTGATCGAGATACTGGGCCACCGGACGGCGGCGCAGCGCGCGGAGATCGCCGTGGCCTACGAGGGCCTCTACAACGAATCCCTCCTCGACAGGCTCCACTCCGAGCTCTCCGGCGACTTCCGGGTAATTCCAAGGTTTCGTGCGTCGATCGATTCCGATAGCTTGGATCGCCGACCCGACCTGACTGACAGTTCCTGCCTCCTCGCCGGCACGGCGGCGTTACTCCTGGTCCTGGCAGAGCGCGATGATGCTGTGGACGGCAGACCCGGCGGCGCGTGACGCCAAGCTCGCCCATAAGGCCATGAAGAAGAACGGCGAGCGGTACGTGTGGGTGCTCATCGAGGTCGCCTGCGCGTCGACGCCGGACCACCTCGTCGCCGTCAGGAAGGCCTACCGCGAGGCCTACTCCGCCTCCCTGGAGGAGGACGTCGCCGCGTGCCCGCTCTACAAGGACCCGCTCCTCAAGCAGGCGAGGCCGCCGGCTCGGTTCCTGCCATCGTGTGCAGTCAGATCCTGACGTTTCTTGGCCGGACGGTCGCTCACCTCAGCCGGGTGTCTGTCTGTCTTGCAGTTCTTGGTGCGGCTGGTGAGCTCGTACCGGTACTCCGGCGAGCTCGTCGATGACGAGCTGGCGAGGGCGGAGGTCGCGGAGCTGCACGATGCGGTGGTGGCCAGAAAGCAGCCGCTGCACGGCGACGTCGTGCGCATCGTCAGCTCCAGGAGCAAGCCGCAGCTGAAGGCGACGTTCGAGCGGTACAGGCAGGACCATGGCAAGGCCATCGACGAGGTGCTCGAGGAAGAACGCCGCAGCGACCAGCTCGCGGCGGTGCTCAAGACAGCGGTGTGGTGCTTGACGTCGCCGGAGAAGCACTTCGCGGAGGTAACCCATCCATCCTTCAGTTCAGTTCAGTAGCAATCCGTTAATTTCTGATGGCCTTCTTGTTGTTCCATTCCAGGTGATCCGGAGCTCCATCGTCGGGCTCGGTACGGACGAGGAGTCCCTGACGAGGGCGATAGTCTCGCGCGCCGAGATCGACATGAAGAAGGTGAAGGAGGAGTACAAGGCCAGGTACCACAAGACGGTGACCAGCGACGTCAACAGCGACACGTCCGGATACTACAATGGCATCTTGCTCACTCTAGTCGGGCCTGAGTGAATCACCATGGATGGATGATGGATCTATGTATAGGTCGGAGGGATTGTTTGCGACTTGTAGCTTGCTTGTTCTTGTTTGATTGAACAAAATTCCTACAAAACTGCTGAGTGAAATGGTGATATTGTGGTGATCCGTTTGGTGATAATAATAAAACGCCAGATCGATGGGAAAACCAATTAACAAAAGCTATGATGTCTCAAGAGTATCATCATCCAAGCACTTTTTGTACACATAAACGCTGTTGCGATTCGACTGTAATATCACGACCAAGGTAACAACAGAATAGATGGAATTACAGACGGGACCTCTCCTAGTTCAAATGAGGTGATCCAATCTATTCGCCTCACTTCTTCCTGGCAAGAGCAGCTATTCCACCAACCAGAAGTCCCACGGCAGCTGTCGCGATTCCTATTCCAATCACACCATCTGCGAGTAGAAGAATTTGGTTTGGTTATCTAGATAACTTTAGCTCTACACAGCACTTCCTGAACATGGCCCCGATAAGTACATTGAAATGATGAAAGCATTTGGGTTGCAAAGAATCCAATGCAAATGTGACCAAGTTTTAGCTGATTACGTTATCTCACCTTTGGCAATTTTATCTTCTATTGCCTTCTTCAGAGACATGGCCTGCCTCCAGTCAGGTTGAATCTACAGGACAGAAATCATGTGACTTAGATATTAGCATATCAATGCAACAATATCCTTGAGAAATTGAGAATTTTTGAATCTACAGGAAAGAAATCATGTAAGTTCGATCTTAGAATATCAAGGCAACAATATCCTTGAGAAATTGGGAATTTTAAAATCTTAAGGATTCAGTGGTCTTGCAAAATAAACACATCCTATCACATAAGCCAGAGCGATCTTCTGACAAGAATCCTAAACAATTTCAGCTAAGCTAGCTTCCAGTACATACCACATACCCAGTACACATGTAGGTTAGGAAAGAAAACCAAATTAACTCCACAATGGGAATTCCAAAGAAAAGGAAAGAACCAACAAATCCATGTTCAATAAACCACTTGTTTCTGAATACGCAGTACATGTAACATGTGAACATTGGCAGAGCAGAAACTATTACTTTCTTTCTGCTGTTCCAAAGCATAAATGCCAAATTGGGAACAGATTCTATCATAGAAAAAAATGGGGGGTTTCATGCAATAGTAGACAAGGGCAACAGCCTAACAGGTCATCAGCCTCCAAACAGTCATAAGCTTCAATTCATGATCTTAGGCCTTCAATTCATGATTCTTAGGCCGCTCTAGCTAGTCCAGGGAAGGAATTAATAGAATACATCAGAGAACCTAGTCCTGAGGGCATGTTCGGCTGTTAGGTTGCACAGTAGATTTTGGATGATTTCGGATGATTCAATAGTATTCTGTGAGAGAGAATAAGCTGAAACAAGCTAAAACAATCTGAAACATGAGCAGCCGAACACTCTGTATAAGAACACAAAATTGTTTAAAAGTACAGCTGTGATGAATGCTTGAGCAGTCGAACTGCTAAAACAGAAAGAGTGTTGGCCCCAAGATAAGGCACAATAGGATGGTAGGTAGCCAGCTACTAATAATAAAAAAAAAATAATGCCTGTTTAAGAATTATAAACTGATACTTCAGATGGAAAAAAAAAACAGTTCAGTTAAAAAATGGATCAAACGAATTTTTAGTGAAATTTAGTCATCATGATGTTATATGGCAAAGAAATAGTTCCAGTTACACTATCAATTCAATACAAATATTGGTTGCCAATGTCACATGGGCTCAGCACAAACATACATGTTGGGTCAATTGCAGTTTATTAGTAGAAAGGAACATAGAGTTTGGTTGCAGAGTAATGGCACAGAAATTGCATCATATCCTGGCAACATTCCATTTTGGCTGTACAGATATTGATAAGATATCAAGAAATCATAAATCATATATAGCATTCTAGAAGCTAAATGATCCTGGAGTCATACCTCCAAACAACGATCTGCAAGTTGCCTGCTTTTTGAGTAGTCGCCAATCCTGTAGAGGCCAACTGCCAACAAGTACATCTTTTCCTTAGTCTCCAGAGGACTGCCAGAATTATCCAAAGAAGCTGTAGAACCAAATGGGCCGATCAAAACAGGTCCGAGAATAGCCTATGGCCAAAGGAAATATAATCAACAAAATCTAATCACTTGGTTGCAAGAAGCAATCAGGCAAGTGCTAGTTTTGCGCAAAACAAGATATCAGACCTTGAAGCATGCTGATTCCACGGTTTACATCATCCGTCTGCTTGGAGTGCACAAGGGCCCATGATAACCTCATAAGACTAGAATTCCTCTGTTCATCATTTGCAGCATCGGCAAGCTCTCTTTCAATGCCCTAATGACAAACAAAACCACAAGCCCTCAGCTGAATTCTGAGTTTCCACATATTACCAGAACCTCAGGAAACAGATACAATAGCAACAACGTGAAGAGCAGTATAAAAACATATTCAGCGACATCAACTAGCAACAAGATCAACACTGAAAGTTCGTGTTGGCAAATTATGCTAACAAAATTCTTGACCCAATTGTAGGTATTGCAAATATAGTCATCTATACTCTCCAACCAAAATAAGCAGGAGGGCATTCAACTTGGTTAGTCTATGCCACAGACACAGCATGACACATGACTGCAACAAGCCGCTCAAAATAAAGTGCCAACATGATCAACACACAGCCATGGTGCTGAATGGGTAGGCTGCCAATACTATGACCTAAACTGAAGTACTGAAACCCTTACCACCCCCGTTTACCAAGCAATTCTAACAGGGCATCAGAAAGGACACATTACAGAAACAATTATGTGCTCGCATGCAAAAGTCATCACGCCCTTGAACCCCCAATACAGCAACTGCTGGCGATGATCCCCATCTGACTCCTCCCATCCCCCTTTCCCTGCTATACCTAACCTCCGAATGCTTTCGGTTGCAAGTACACGATTTAACCCTAGTCCCCACCGAGCTGGCGGGATACCGCAACAAAACCTCAAAATCTGCAAGGATTCGGACGGCAACGGAGGGGAAAATGCAGAGGGGAAAATTCCCAGAGCGCTCACGGCGATGAGGCCGCGGTCGCACCAGGGGATGTGGTCGCCTCCGCTGAAGAAATTGCCCACGGACTCGAAGAAGCGTTCCATCTTGGCCTCCATCGATCTGTTGTCTGCGGGGGCGATCGGGATCCGAGGAGGTGGCAGAGCAGGAGGGCTATTCCAGGCTTCGCGTGCAGGGATGGGTGTGGAACCGCAGAAGGGAAATGGGGTGGGGGGGTATTGGAGAAGCGCTAGATCGTTGCGCATGCCACGAGGGGAAATGGGGGATTCTAAGCCGTGTTTTTGTCACTGATATGTGGGACCCTCGTCTCTAGGGTTCACATGTCAATGAAATGCGACGGTTGGACTGCTTCCGTGTCTTCAGCGCTAAGAAAGAAGGTTAGAAGAGAGGAGAACGACGGCCGTCCTCTCTCTCTCTCTCCTTTTGAGGCCCATACCGCCGAGGACTGGCCCAATCAAATCTACTCACTCTGTGTCTCTGTTCCGCATTATAAGGCATTTTGCATTTTCTATATATTATTTTTAGACATAATGCATACTAAAACATATATATTTAGAATAGTTAAAATATCTTATAATTTAAATGAAGAGAGTAGATGTTTTCTATGTTTCTTAATTAATGTGCCAACTAAGAAAAAAAATAATGTGGCATTGCAATTAAAGAAGAGAGATGATGAAATAGTTTCTTCGATCCACACGGAAACCAATATATGAAGAGATTTAGTTGGTAGGAGAGAAAACATGTGGACAAAAAATTATTTTGTAGAAACTATTTATTTAGAATATAATTTCTATGTGTAGTGTCTACATGATTTGACAAGTGTAAAAATTACCTCATAGTTTCTAGATTAGGACTGCCCTGAGAATATCTTCATGTCTAGTGGTTCCATCCTCTTTGTCAGTTGTCACACCTTTCAGTTGACTAATACATATTTTTGGAACAGACCGTGAGTATGGTGTTTGTTTGGTTACTAAATGGAATTTGTATTGTATATTCCGATAAGGGAACCTAGATTGAATGGAATTGTATTTAGGTTTGATATTTAACCAGTTAAAAATAGCCAAATTAGCCCCACTGTTTGCCCCTCCCTGAATCCGCCCAAAGAATCCCAGAAGTACACACTAATATATAATCAGATGCACAGATGAAGGGGAAAAAATCTTGTAGATTGTTCAATCAGTTGCTCGGTCGGAGGATGAGAGTAGCTTGATTCAACGATAAACAACTCAAAAGTCAAAATAGGCGCAATATTGGACACATGTGACAGTGACAGTGACAGTGACTGACCCAATAGGACTGAGTGAATTGGTGGGTCTAAAGTCTAAACTGAACACATACTCCTGATGTATCTATAGCTCATGCGAGTGGATTGAAGGAGAAGACGCGGCAAACATACCGGCATGGTGAATGGTGATGCAAGGAGTGGAGCGTGGGACCTTGCTGGCAGCTGCGGTGCGGCCGTGCGGTCACCGGCGCCGCACGCAAAATTCCACATGATTTTTAGGCACGGCATAGGATACCAGGATCAGGTGTCAAATTGACCATTAAACATGTCCAGATCGTGCTCAGATTTGGAGCTAGCTGCTTCCACGACAATTAAAGGTCGGTTCTGTTGAGCAATGCGATGTGAAAAAAGCTATCGTGAGCCATGTAAAAGTTACTGTGAAAATTGTAAGTTTTTGGTTAGAACAACTATAAAATATACTCTCTCTCTCTTGAATTAGTCGTGAAAAACTCTCTATTTTACTTATTTAAAAAAGCAGGAAGCCAAAATACAGAGTTCAAGCTGGTGCTGCGAAAATTGTTATTTTTACTCATTTTAAAAAGCAAAAAGCCAAAACACAGAGTTCAAGCTGGCGCTAAAAATTGTATTGCGCGAAAGCTGTGACTTCTGAAGTAACAACTTCAGATTTGATTGATGTTAAAAAACTTAGAACTTTGAGGCTAAACAAGGCCCCAATTGGCCAGGCCAGCTGGCAGTATCCGCAGTCGCTGGCTGATCGCGATGTTTCCCTGATCTTCTGTGCTTTCCTTGTGACCCGGAAAAATTCCCTTTCGTCGTGTCCAAATCTATGCGCATTGGGCTGGCCGTGGCCCATGCGGGATCGGGCGGACGACGGCTTTTCCTTGAAAAGCAGACAGCCCGTAACTCTGTGTCTAAGGAAGGAGACCTTGATTGAGAAAACATCCGAACACCATGTCCCGTCCTTATAAAGGGCCCGTTACCTGTAAGGAAGGAGACCTTGATTGAGAAAACATCCGAACACCATGTCCCGTCCTTATAAAGGGCCCGTTACCTGTAAGTACACGGTGATAAACCGCCTACTGTGACAGAAAAATACTCTAGATTTATTCTCACATTCGTCCTTCCATCCTTTTGAGGGGCCCGTTACCTGTGAGTACACGGTAATAAACCACCTGCTGTGACAGAAAAATACTCTAGAGTCATTCTCACATTCATCCTTCCATCCTTTTGAGCTCCAATTTGAATTCTGAAGTACACAACTCAAGCACGCAACATGCGTCCTGTTCATTTAGCTTGTAAACCGTATTTTTTTAGTCAATGAATAATATTTTTTCTTATAATAAATTCACCAACAATATTTTCAGCCATGGCTTATCAGCCAAGCGAACAGGACGATCCATTGTCAAAACCAAGTGGCCAAGTGGGTGGATGACTTCCTTACTAATCGACTTGTTCACGGGTTGGTTTCTGTGCTATTAAGATTAAGATTAATATTAGTTTGTTGCGCGTACGAAATGTTCACTTCATTACAGTGTCCGTAAAGCTCTGACCTGTGAGCCCCCCGCCCTCCATTGGCACCACACCTGCAAGCTGGAGCTGGTCCTGCCCATATCCATGGCAGAAGCAATCATGCGTGCGGTCAAATGCTCTGCCGGACAGAGTGTCTTTGAGTCTGGAAACAAAGCCGCAAATGGCTATGGGACAAGGCGCCCGCCCATCATCACTCAGTTCATTTGCTCCCAACCACGGCAAGTACATGTACAGATTTACGGGCAAGGAAGCAATGGAAGAAGAAAGCAAGGAATCAAGAATCCGATCGAAGCTCCACCGGTGGCGGCGGGGGCGGAACGAAAGTGTCCTCTTTCATCATCATCATCAGTAAAAATTGTGTATCGCAATGTGGGTGGGGAGAATGCGGATGAGTAGCTGGCTGGCAGCCTGGCATGGCACCTAACCGAAGTGGTCGTTGGGCCTGCTACGACGACTCGTAGGCGGCGGCGGCGGCGGGGAGGACGTCGGCGTGCGGGTTGCAGTCGGCGGAGAAGAAATCGTTCTGCTCGAGGAGGGACCGGACGCCGGCGTCCTCCTTGCCGGTGGCGCTCGGGTTGGGCTCCAGCGAGCAGTCGCCGACGGGGCACACGCAGCACCACGCCGCCGGCGCTGCCGTGGCAGTGCCCGTGCCAGGCTCGGGACCATCGCCGGCGCCGGCGGCAGCATCTCGATCGGCGGCCGGTGCTCTCTCCCGCCGGCTCCACCTCCTCTCGGCCCTCCGCCCGCCGGAGGCAGCGGCCTCCTGAACCACCGAGACGCCGCCGCCCCAGCAGGAGGGCAGCCCGCCCCGGATCGTCCTGGCCACCGCCTCGCGCCTCCCCTGCTGCTTCTTGCGCCGCGCTTGCCTCTGCTGCCCTCGCCCTTGCGCCTCCCCTTCCTCCTCCTCCGCTCCTCTGCCGGACGACGACGACGAAGAAGAAGAAGACGCGGCGGCCGCCCCGGGAGAGGCGGACGCGCCGGGCTGCCTCCGCCGCCGGAGCGCGTCTCCACCTCCACCCCCGCCCCCACCACTGGGCCGGCTCTCCCCGCCCGCATACATGCAACCGCCAGGAAACCGTCGGTGCGCGCGGCCGCCACCGACGACGGCTCCCCCCTCCCCGGCCTTGCCGCGGTGGATCGATTGATCGATCAATCAATTGGCCGATCAACAACCGCGGCTCGCTGGTGGCTCAATCCCGCGGCGCCGGCGACGGAAGCGCTTCTGGCTGCGATTGACGGCGCGGGTGGTTTTGGTGGGGATTGGAAGGGGGGTGGGGACGGAGGCGGGGGCGATGGCGAGAAGAGCAACGCACCAAATCCGATTGCGCTATTATTGGGCGAGCGCAGCTTGCAGTTGCTCACGCCTTGGCACGGCGGCAGCTTCGCTTTCGCTGCCGCTCGCGAGTGTGCAGGGCGGGGGCGGAGGAGGCTGAGGAGGAAAATCGATTTTTGCCTCGTCAAGAATGATGCGGCGGCTGCGAAAGGAATGCGTCGTCGGCACAGGTAATGGAGGAAGGTATATGCAAGAGGAGAGATACGTAATCTGGGGGCCGATTTTATATTAATTTAATCGTTCTGGTGATCTGATCTGGCGAGGTTCCAGTTGGATTCGCGCGGCGGTGTCTAATACGCGACGCGACACGTTCCTAGTTGTGATCGAGATGACATTGGAGCCGTGATGCTCGGCAGGCTTCGCTGTTGTGTTTTTAAATGACTGCCGAGTGTAGTGTCTGCTTTTTTTTTTTAATGTCTCGACTCTTCTAATGTATCTGACCATATGCGTCAACTCACACCACCACACGCACATAAACTCACACAACCACCCACACTAGTGTGAGCGCTAGACCTACACCTATACGAAGAGACTACACGTGGCTAAGAGATATTCGAAGTCTACCGGACTTCGCACGTGACGAGAACGTCACGCTGACCATTGTGACACATCCACCTAAGAGGCTGCAGATACACAGTACCTGCTCTTGGTTTCACGGATGTGTCTGGGATTCACAGCCAACGGTCTAAAAGTTAAGCTTTCTTTCTCGTGGTAAACAAAGCAGAGATGCTCCATTTCATGGTTGCGGTCGTTTGGCAGCCTTGACTTTGCGAAGTGCTTCGGCTACCTGTAACATTTAGATTGACCACGATTTTAGCAAGCACATACGAGTAAATTACACGAAGAACCCTGTGTTTATCCGTGTTCACTTCATACCCTTGAACTTTGATTTTATTTAGTTTGTAACTTATTATAACCCCTGCTTCTTGACACCGGATCATTATTTGCATTTATTTACATCCTTCGTTCCAAAATAACTGTACATCTCGCTTATCAAAAAATCAAACTTTTCTAAATTTGACTTACTTTCTAGAGAAAAATATTAATGTTTCCATCTCTAAATAAATTTATTATAAAAATTAATCTATTCATACTTATTATGTATTGTAAATACTAATACTTTTTGTTGTACACTTTATTAAACTTAAAAGACTTTGATTTATTCGAAGGTGAGGCGTAGTTATTTTGGGATGAAGTGAGTACTTGTAGAGCAACTCCACTAGATCGAGGAAAACAACCATTTTTTCATAAAAACTGTCATGTGAAGGAATTGGATGAAAAAACCAGCTCCAACAGATCTTTCTCATTTGTTTTCCATTTTTTTTTGTAATTGAGAAAACCAGGCCCTCAATCCCTCGAACCAAGAGAGAATTCCTTATTTGACACAGGAAAAATGAGTTGTTCCTTTCTTGGCCTTGAAATTTTCTTCGTTCCCTATTTGACGCCCACTTCAACTTTCATCCCTAATTTGACACTACCGTCAAATCCGTTAGCTAACGGTGTTAACTGGCCGTTAAAAAGACGTTTTTGCCCCTAGAAAAAAAGCGGCGAAGCAAATTTGAGAGGAAAAAAAACCTGCGCCTTTTTTTGCAGCTGGGCGCATGCATCAGAGGCGGGCGTAGGTTTTTTTTCTCTCAAATTTGCTTCGCCGTTTTTTTTCTAGAGGTAAAAACGTCTTTTTAACAGCCAGTTAACACCGTTAGCTAACGGATTTGACAATAGTGTCAATTATGGATGAAAGTTGAAGTGAGTGTCAAATAGAGAACGAAAAAAATTTCAGGACCAAGAAAGAAACAACTCATTTTCCCAGTGTCAAATAATTCTCTCTCAAACAAAAGGAACAACCCGTCCATTTTCTCAATCCCCTTTCTTTGCTTTCCCTTTCACTAACAACACGGCAGTCGGCGTGCATAGGATGGTCGCTGCATAAATTACCATCGGGCTACGCATGCTTGCACTGGTTAGATAGTGTGGGTGTAGTTCCACATTGCGGTGATCAAGTCAACAGGCTCACTGAGTCACGGTACCTTTGAGATTCACTTGCGAGCATCGAGCAATACTGAATGAACACATCAAAGTTATATGTCCCTCAATAGGAAGGAAGACGGTGCATCAAAACTGTGAGCTACACATATTTCAAAAAATGAAACTAAGGAGAACGATCTCAAGAAGTCCATTGAACCAGTCACATTGTTGCTCTGAATGAATTACTAGGTGCTAAATTGAACAAGTGGAGAAGAGAAGATGTTCAAGTTAGGTAGTTGTGCTTGTCATGGCTTTTTGTTTGGTCTTGTACATGTTATTTCTCTACTCACGATCCTTTTACTCAACCTTCAATTATTTGTTGTGGGGAAAGAGCGAGAACGACACAAAGAGATAGTGACAAGGGACCACGAGGGAGATTTACACACCATAATCTAATCTGCATTAGATGTAATATGGCTTATCACGATTAAGAAAACCATCAATTAATCCTCGAGTTTGCATACAATACAAATGATAATTGGTTAGTAACAAAAGGTGAATTATATTACAATTATCTTTTCATGAAAAATGGAGTAAATTTAGCAACTTAGTAAAAAAAAAAAAAATAAGGTAAATATCAATATAGGATATAAGAGGATGATTGATCTATTAAACATGTTTAAAGAAGTTAGATCAATAGTACGCTTGTAAGGATCATCTGATCCTCGGTCAAAAATAGATCACCCTATTGGTAATGTCTTGAGAGGGGATGTAATTAGGTCTTCCAACAAGACTACTACTAGGCTAATTGCTCCATAAACAACACATAATAAATATATCTTAAATTCTATCTAAATATGCTCTAGGGTTATCTAATACTTCTATTCTACCTCTAAAATGATGTACCTAATAAGTTCCAATCCTAGCAATCAGACAGCCTAAATCTAGGAAAGTAAAGACATAGGAAAATTACAAACAAGTATAAATCTAAAAAACATAAGTATAAAAGAAAGAAACAGAAAGCCATCTCCATACTAAGGGATCATGTGACAGAACTGCCCAATTTATACAAGATCAAGTACGGCTGTCCCCGCTAACACGTTGACACGCGCATACTTTCACTTATATAAACCCGGTAGTCCGTCGAGTGTCACGCAGGACCTCGGTAAATCAACATCACAACCAAGATCGCGTGATTAAGCAAATATACATCACATACCCAGAGTTGCAGCGGAAATAATATTACAAATAGGTTCATAAATAATAGTACAAGTTTGAATTTCAAAACCGATTAGTGAAAACAACATAACTTTCAAATGATTACATTAATATAAGTTCCAAATACGTTGCTAGCATAAGTGACATCCTCAGATAAAAGCATATAGATGAGAATAAATATAGAGTCACCGAGCCCACCGGCGGTTAGCCACCATCTTCAGCACGCCGAAACCTCACCTGCAACATGGTGGGATAAACCCTGAGTACTCGAATGTACTCAGCTAGACTTACCCGTCATAACCAGAAATAAAATTGACTCCAAAGAGTATGCAAGGCTTTATAAGTGGAGGTAGCTTGACAATATTTTGCATAAAAAGCGATTAACTCAATTATACAATTATAATTCTGTCATCAAGTTAATTAGAACTATCAATCTCTAGATTAGCAACTATCCTGTGCCAAACATGTGGTATATCTTTTTAGAGCATACAATAGTAACCATAGCAGGTATAGTAATTCCATGTTTATTCGAACCATCACATTCCATAATCCAATTACTACGATATTGGGACTAGCCAAGTTTCTCACCATCCGGGAGAGACGGCGATTCGAATCGATTTCAACCAGCTGTGAATTTATTCCTAACACAAACCCAGGCAGACCAGATCAACGATCACCTTAGGTCACCTTTGGTACAACTCAGATACACATTTCGCGGGTCTGTACCGCGCCGCACAGTCTGGGACACCAGATGCCAGGACGTTCAGGCCTAGCCTGCCCTTGGGCTCAGTCTGATCGCCCCCCGCAAGGAGCGCACAACAGAACGGGTCCCGGCCTGAGTTGAATTACTCGGCTTCGCGGTCGGAACGAGTTATCCGGCCAGCTAAGTGAGAGGCATGCGTTCAATCTTGTCAGAAGCGCCAACAACGGTACGGTCCTTAATCGACACAGACGGAATCACATGAGTCAACCTACACATAGACTCCGTCCGGCCTCGATTTACTTTTACCCTATGGTTCTTTTCCACGATAGCAAATATAGCCAACCGTGCTTCGGTATCCACCTATATCTCGCAGGTGACAGGAAATCACCTGACTTCTACCGATCTAAGCATGGCTAAGCATATATTCGATCCTGGACCTATACCGGTTAAAGGTGTAATATCTGGACAAGGAATGTATATGCATCAAGTGGTTCCATTCAACTCTTATAACCTAATGCATCAATCATAAGTACTTAAGTAATCATTTGTAAAATACTGGAAGACTTAGAATGCTCCGGGGCTTGCCTGGGATCCGACACAAGTCAGTTCAGTTAGCTTGCACCGACTTGGTGACATCTCCGGTCCTAGCACTTGCTTAGTCCTTCCATCTTCGGGATAGATCCACCAAACATCGTCTTCGGGTTTGACTCCACATCACATCCTTCACGTGGTTCATCTAGCGTACCTAAATAAAATGCAAGATGCATGTGTATGAATACATGGAAGTGCAATAGACAATACATCGCATGCAGTAAGTAAGACAAGCACAAGGTTACGTTAACATGCACAAGCACTTCACATTGCTTACTTTAAATATCACACAATTTATCATGCCACGATAGCAAAGAAGACGACAACACCAAGCATGACACAAGTTTCCCAAGATTTCAGGTACTCTAACTCAACCATCATCAAAGGTATGAGCCACACTTAGCAATATACAAGCAAACAACTATAATTGGAATCTGTCAATTTCTAGACATGCAAACAGTAGCTATAAGATTTAGCTATAACTGGAGTTACACAAATCCAAATGACTTGAAAGAAGACATTCTGGAAAGCTTATGAAATTTTTGACAATTCATATTTAATCATCTTAGCATTATTCTCAAGTTAACTAAGTCAAATATACCCATTTATAGAAACTGGTCTAAACAAAACAGAGAGCAGCCATTTCTGAAACCCAACTTTAAACAGGCATAACTCACAAACCACAAGGCCAAATACCACCAAATTTTAACAGGAGCTAGATACATGAATTATCTACAACTTTGTTATTATCACCAAAAACTCATTCAAATCCTAACTAGATCAAACACTAGCATCTTTCAGATCTGCTCAGAATAAAATCAAAACCTGATAGAAGACTTAAAAGTCATGTAACTCCTACACTATCTGGCCTATGACCTTACAGTTCGAACTCAAGCAAGATCATAAAATTTGCTACAACTTTTGTATACACTACAACCATAGCAAACATCATTTACACCACGAAAATAATTGCACAAGCAAAACTGCAAATCCAGTCCAACAGCAGTGGTATAGAAAACTGATAGCATCTTCAGAGAAGCATGACCGGAGTTCTAGACCTCCAACAAACATGAACCATAACTTTTTCAAAAGCTTAGGAAGTTACCTACAACTTTCTTATTCTCATATTAAGATGATTCTACAGTTAGAAGGGTCAATTAATCTAATAATTGCATCTCTATCCAAAACATAGACATAAACTGACATGCCACTTTAAATAGCTATAAATGGAGTTATACATGTCCAATAAATGTGGTTCTAGACTCTTTAGAAATCTTAGCAAATTCTAAACAATTTTGTTGTAAACACCTAAAGCTAATTCTACTGCTAAGAAGGCCCCACAGTAAGAACAAGGAAACCCTCTCTGGTTTTGGGCAGAAACAGCCACAGAGATCTAAGCAAGTATAACTCAAGATCTACTTAACCAAAAATCATGATATTTAGCTTTTTGAAAATCTTAATAAAAATACTACAACTCATGTATTTTCACAAAGTCATGATTCATAACTTAACTAAGCCAATTAATTCAAACATGCAGTCCTATTCAGAATAGGAGCAAATCAAAACAGGGCATTTGTTATTTTTATAACTCTTAAACTATCAAGTCTAAAATATTGAAATTTTTACCAGACATCAAGAATAACCTTAGTAGCACTCCACAAAAATTTCACAATTATTTGAGCACAACATCTGCAGTTATAAAAAAAACAAATAAGACTAGCATTCAAACCCTAACTGCACAAATCCATTTTTACAGCTAAAACTTTAAACTAAAACCTAACATATTATAGATCTAATGCATAGAGAATTTTACAAGGATTCCAAAAAGTCCTCATTTACTATTTTACGAATTTTCTACGATTTACTATGAATTTCCAAAGTTCCTGCAAAATAATTACAAACCAGTCCTTACGGCACTATTCATATGAGTCACAGACTATGCAGTTAGGTCCCTCCCTTTCTTCAAATTCTTGCGCGAAGTCCCTGACGTGGATTGCAGCAGAGGAGGCGCGGAGCTCATTGCTTCCCGACGGGAGGAGGCTCGTCGGCGGCGATGGGGCAGCGGCGGAGCACCAGGGGCCTCATGCAGCATCCATGGGACAACTCTTCTTGGCACGAGGCGGCTCGTGGTGGCCGCCACGCACGCGTCTTGGCCGTGACTATGCCCGCAACACCACCGGCGGCAGGGCACTCCGGCGACCACGGTGGCCGAAAAGGGGCGCAGGAGTGGCGGCTCTAGCTGGAGATGGTGATGACGCGCTTTCGGTTGGGGATTTGAGAAGGCTGCAGAAGGCAACAGCGAGCTCGGCTCGGGAGCTCCACGGCGGCGCCATGGTGGCTCCACTGGTGCGGCCAGGCCGAGCAAGAGAGCGAAGAAGGACGGGGCAGCATCAGCGCGCGATTATGGATGAGTAGTAGGGCGCGGCGCAGCGTGGCGTGGCACAGGGGGGGGCGCGTCGGCCAGCACCGCGCCACGCTGCAATGGGTGGGAGCACGCCCGGGTGCATGGCGACGCCAGCGTTAACTCTTTGTCGAACACCGACGTCGTCGGTGTGTGGGCAAGGTGGGGAGCCGATTTGGGTCACTTTCAGGCCGAATCAGACCTTGGGCCAAAAATGAAGTTTGCTCACCTCAGCCTGCTCTACATTTCTCATTTAAGTTGCCAAGTCATTAGAGCTCTGGATCAGTGGATAATTAGTGTCCGAATAGCCAGTGTCAATGGATTGACAACGATTACCAAACTCCAAAAATCGATGGTCAAGACAAGGTCCAACGAGTGCCATCTTTATACATGCTCTTCGCCATCATGTACACTCCAACTTTTATCTTTGGACCAAATTGAGTTGCTTAACAAACTTTGGAGAACACGAGATGTCAATGCCGATGTCGTTGAATTTCTAGACTTAGAATATTTCGAAGTGCTGAAATCAGCAACAGGTTCCAACTTCGAGCCTCTGTTTGACTTATTTCCAAGTTGATCTAACTCTTGGTCCAAAAACAAAGTTTGTTCTACATGATATGGACTACAACTTTCATTTAAGGTCCAACCTCAAAACTGGTATAGAACCTGCTGTTCTACTTTGACCAAAGTAGGATCACGATGAAGCTTAAATTATCCTTTTTGATCCATTGGAGCATTTTCTTGGCATTTGCCCAACATGAACCTTTCATGACTTTTGTTGTAGAGTTCATCTAGAGTAATTTTGGCAAGGTTGCAAGGTTTGGTTGACATCTCATGTTCTCATTCACTTAATAGTGCAATTCAAGCACTTAGTAAAATCATTCCAACAAGGATATAACTTATCATTTCATGTGACTTTTTGAATCCAAACGTTATAAAACTTTTCGAGTGTCCAATATAGATGGGTATTGATGTGAGACACATGAAGATATCCCAATCACACCACCCAAGCATATATCTTGAAAAGGGGTCTATAGGCGAGCAAAGGTGCAATATCCAAGTTTATGTTGGGGCTCGTTTCTATAGGTTTAACCTTGACATCTTCATCATCACTTAATATACCATGTTTTAGCTCAAACCCATTGCTTAACTGGTGGCAAACACCTGGGGTGTTACAGATCATTCCCGTGATTTTTGGTGGATTGAATCATACTCCTAGTCTATGCTGAAGCACTCACCTAGGGTTACTCTCCCCGTTAGCAGCACTATTGTAGAATCGCTTGAGCCACCCTATGCACCAAGATAGATCTCATGCTAGCTAAGCTACCTACAAAAATGAAGCCTTTTTTTTAAACCTTTCACATAACCTCATTCACATGATGGTAAATTTGTTGCTACTCATTCCCAAAACGAAAAACAAAAATGTTACCTTAATATGTTATTTCCTCTATTATAAATTATAAGTTATTCTAACTTTTCTAGATACAAAGCTTTTACTACGTACCTAGATATACATCATGTATCTAGAAAATACAAAACGACTTATAATTTAAAATTATGAGATATTCTATCCACAAAAGAATGCAATTCTCGCTTCATGAGAAGTAAATCAATTTGAACTTTGACCAAAATTATATATAAAAAATACTAACATTCCTGATATAAAATTAGTATCATTAGATTAGTCATAGAATATATTTTCATAAGAAATTTATTTGGAGACATAAATATTAATACTATTTGCTATAAATCTGATCAAACTTGAGCTACTTTGACCAACACGAATCCTATAATTGCATTCTTTTCTGGATGGTGTTTGTTGGGCCAGCCCAGCCCAACAATAGATTATTTTATTAATACTTTGTGTTTACTTTGTCAAGTCTTAGGGCCGAGATCACGGGAAGGGGATCCAACATTTTCAGTTTGTGTGAAAAGAAAAAAAAACAAGTGGCAGGTGCACTTTGTTGTTGGAGATGGTTCACCAAGCACTTCCACAGTCCACACGCCAAATACTCTGTCCAATTGCTGAATTTTTGTTGATCATGCCCTTTACAATGAACAGAGTCATGCTGCTCCAGATTTACACCAAAGGTTGATGATGAGCCAAGATTGAGCAATTTGTCATTGAAAGAACTGTGATTGATTGCCGAAAATATATTCAGATTCCACATAGCACGCCACAGGTTAACATCACTTTACTTACTCAACACCATCCCCAAAAAATAGCCAAAAACATTTAAAGTAAAGAAATACAAGATACTAATACAATAATTACATGAACCGATAATTTAATCAACTAATAACTCTCTTCATCTCCAAATAGAAGACAATGCATGCTGAAACACAGAGCTCTTCGCCTGAATCAAACTAATAACCCTGGTCCTTGAAGAGATCACACAGTCACAGGGTGGTCTTGGAGGCCCTCCTGACGAGCACAGCCCAGCACATGAGCCTGTAGAGCAGGAAGAACCCCAGCATGACCCCGACGTTGACCCACTTCATCCCCTCGTCGATGCCCCTGTCCCTGAGCACGTCGGCTCCGGTCCTCAAGCACACGCCGCCGGACATGGCGCCATTGTTCCCCCCCATCCACGCCACGCACCTGCCCCTTGCGCTGCCCCCGTACTCGTTGATGAGCAGCAGGTCCAGCGGGTACCTGTACATGGACACGTAGTACATGAACGCCCAGTACCTCGGGATGCTGTCCTTGGGGATGAAGTAGCCGGAGAAGAGGAAGAAGACGCCCAGGAACACGCAGATGAGGGCGTTCCCGAGCACGAAGTCCGGCGACACGGCGCTGAGGAAGAGCACGAGGGAGCTGGCCATCAGCACGATGAGCCAGACGGCGAGGACGAAGAAGGCGAAGGCGGCGAGCGGCGTGGCGCGGAGCCCCGCGAGCCAGTAGAGGGGCGCCGAGAAGAAGAGCGACACGGCGAGGAGGCACGGCGCGAAGACGAGCGCGTTGGCCACCACGTACGAGGAGAGGCGGTACGCGCGCCTGGAGGCCTCCCGCATCAGCACGCGGCGCTCGTGGAGGAGGATGGGCAGCGCCTCCACGGTGGACGAGAGGAGGAAGCTGAGGGTGAAGGCGAAGAGCCCCAGCCGGAGCGCCACGCCGTCGGGGCTGTCCGGGCTGAGCCGGAAGTAGACGCTGCCGAGGCCGAGGCCGCCCACCACGGCCTGCGCGGCGCGCGCCGCGAACAGCTCCCGCGTGCGGTACATGGTGCGCCAGCAGCGCACGGTCAGCGCCGCCACCTCCGTGAAGCGGCTGCAGTAGCCCTGATCGGGGACGTCGAGGCGTCGTCCACTGATCACAAGGCGGCTCACCTCATCCTCGTCGTCGGCATGGTGATCACCGTGCACGGCGATCCTGGAGCGGTCCTCCGCCTCGAGCTGGCTGGTGAACTCCATCTCCATGGCGAGCTCCAGCGGGTTGAGCTGCATGGGGATCTTGTGGCCCAGCCGCGCCTGCGCGTCCTCCAGCGACTTGAGCGTGCCGAAGTGCGCGACGGCGCCGCGGGAGAGCAGAAGCAGCGAGGAGATGTAGTGCAGCATGCGGTAGCTGGGCTGGTGGATGCTGAGCACCACCACCTGGCGGCGCGCGCGGGACACGTCGTGCAGCAGCTGCAGCACGTCCAGGGCTGAGCGGCTGTCCAGCCCCGACGTGGGCTCGTCCAGCAGCAGCACTGGCGGGTCGTGCACGATGTCCACCGCGATGGACACCCGCTTCCGCTCGCCTCCGGACACCCCGCGGGCGGCCGACAGCCCGCAGCCGTCGCCGCCGCCGACGTAGCTGTCGGCGACCTCGGACAGGCCGAGCTCCTGCATGAGCGCGTCCACGCGCTCGCGGCGCTCCCCGGCGGTCCCGGCGGTGCGGAGCCTGAACCGGGCGGCGAAGAGGATGGTCTCGCGGACCGTGAGGAGCGGGAGCAGGTTGTCGTCCTGCGTGACGAACCCGCAGAGCCGCCGCAGCTGCGCGCGGGAGGTGACGGCGTGGCCGTTGAGCGACACCGTGCCAGGCTTGGCGATCTCTGAGCCCGTGCCGCGGCCCGACAGGATGCGGAGCAGCGTCGACTTGCCGGCGCCGCTGGGGCCCACGACGGCGAGGATGTTGGAGCTGGAGGCGATGAAGGACACGGACTTGAGCAGGCCCTCCGCGCCGGCGGCATCGCGGGCCGGCGAAGCGGAGGAGGAGGAGGACAGGAACGACGGCAGGAGGTTGGCGGCGGCGCGGCGGCGAGGGGCGGGGCATGAGAGGTTGTTGACGGCAAAGGTGTAGTGGGGCGGGGACGGGTGGGAGAAGGAGGAGGAGGGCGAGGCCGAGCCTGGCGGCGACGAGGAGGACGTCGACGTCGACATGAGCAGCGCCGGGTCCAGCTCCGAAGACAGGTCCTGATCCATGGCTATCTGTGCAGCCCTGAGCTGATGATGAGTAGTGGACGAGGATGGCGCGAAGCGGCTCAGCAGATATAGCTCGCTGATTTCGTCGTCTTCCATTTGCAAATCCGATCCAGCTCGCTTACTTGAACGTGTTACGCACCCATGCACGCACGCTTCATCACGCCACGGCACACCACCACTAGCTAGCTTGCCAATGGCGGTCTTCTAGATCTTCAAACTTTCCAGCATGCAACGCAGAACAGAGAGACAGAGAGAGGGGAGCGCGCTCTGCTTAAGCTTGTTTGGATGATTTGATCTGGGTGAGCAAATGGGAGAAGAAAGCCTGTGCGGGTCGGCCCAGGTGGGCACTTGTACCAAGAGGAGTATAGAGGCCCCCAGGCTGAAGAGGAATTGTTTCGTTTGGGCGAGGGCCGTTGTGACCCGCTAGCTATTGTGACCAAACGGTCTAACGGCCATTTCACAGCGTGTCGTGGCAGTTGCACCTAAGCACCTAATATAACCGGCGCGCACGCTGGCTTGAACCGGTCGAACGCCGTCCGCGGGGCCTGCGTTTCGTGGCGTGTGGTTGGGGTCTTGTCTCGCTGTGCCGACCGAACCGTAATAGTAAAAGCAAGTTTCTGATCGACAAAGACCGCGTTTAGCTTCAGTTTAATTTTCAGGCAACTTGGTGCTAGTTGTTAGCACATGAACGTATCGCAGGCTCGCAGCCATTTGTGCAAAAGTCGCAAAGATGTTCCTTGTAGCGCTATACGAAATCCAGACCGCTCGTGTTTCGTGTTTGTTGGGACAAACCAACGGAGTCGCCCTGAAGAGACCTCAGGACAAGTGCACAATGGTTGCCTTATTACCATAACTAGAACAGTTGATCCATTGCGTGCATGATACCAGCACCCGAGGGGAAGCCTACGCACCCGAGTAGAGCATAAGGAGGGCCTCGACACTCAAGGACACCTGACGCTGTTGCATTCAAAACCTCGGCACCCGAGGAACGTTCATTGGGACTTACAGTACCTGAGGATTATAGAGGTTTGCGGCATCCGAGGACGAGGCTACTTACTAGCTTGTCATCAAGTCACACGGAGGCTACTGTCGAATATATGGGTCTACGGTACCCGTATATTTGACCATGTCCATCTATTAGGCCAAAAGCCACGGCGAAGGAGGCCCATGAGGGCTAGACGAGTCCACCGACTTGGGGATCAAGATACATCGAAGACATCCGGAAGCCACGACGATATAACGTGGATCAATCTATTACACATCCCATGTAACAAACTAGGAATCTAATCTGTTAACCGATCACCCTTATCATAATCCTACTACCTCAGGCTATATAAGGAGGAGTAGGGCCCTCATGATCGGGATCGATCCCATTCATTCTCATTCTCCCCATCTACTTCATAACTAGGAGCAACAGAGCCCTGTAACTGAGCATAAGAATACAAGAAGAGCAGCATCACCCTAACTATAATAGGGCACCCCACGTGCCTGAACCAGTATAAATCTCATGTCTCGTGTGCTACCATCTAATTCATCTTACACGAGTAGCTGCTAAGTATTGCCGGAGTTAATTCTTCCGACATTGGGAGTTTTCCCAATTTTTCATCAAACTGATAGATCTAAGTGCTCGTGAGGAATCTGCCCAAACCACTTAGTAAAAATGTTCCTCAGAGGTCTTAGCATGCATCCATCCAATCAAAACACCCTCAAACCCGCAGGAAATCAAAATCCGTCAAAAGGGCAAAGAGAGGGAGACCAGGAAGAAAAAACTCAAAACCAAGTCATATGCGAATCAAAGACTCAGATCTCAGAGGAATGGTTTCTTTATTCTCTGAACCATCTAGGTCTAATTCTTTACAGAGGAAAGATTAAAACTTAGATAGTGTATTAGTATCCCGCACTAAGGATCTCAATAGTAGAAACTAGAGATTGGGAAACCTAGAGACTGACTCTAGAAATGAAAACTGAAGAGATAGCTGGTTGGGGGCATCCTCTACCTTATTTGTAGAGATATTACACATTTCCAACAATGCCCTTAGATATTTTGCTGAACCACTTAACCCAAGGGGCATAATGGTCCAACTTGAGATAGAAGCATCTGACGGCCACGCACTCTTCGTGACTTTGCTTCGCCTCGACCCGAACATCGCGATGATGCCATGTGCTGCCCCCTGTTTCTGTTAGAACTCCAATCGGGTTTTGAGGCCCAAACCCAAAAACCGTCCAGCCGATGGTTGTGAGGCCCAAACCACCAAACACGCCTGGAGAAGCGTATCTTCTACTCATCCCCCACTCTCTCGACACATGTCACTGTCGTCCTCGACCACCCGATCACCAAGTCCTCCAGCGCCTCTGCTTGACTTGGTCAACCACCATCTTGACTTAGTCAACAAAGTCAACTCCTCCTCATGTGCTCTTGCTTATTTATGTCCCCAAGTGTCAGCCGCCAGCCCACCACGATCAGTCTTCTGGCCATCTTGGTCCCTCGGTCCAAGCCTCACATCCATCCTTCACCACTCCATGTCCATAGGGATGACACGTCTCAACTTTACCTTCTCCATGTCCGTTGATCGTCTCCGTGCTCCACACTTGCAGATAAACACACGCACTCACACAATGTTCACAATAGTGTCCATCAAAATGCATCTTCAACACTAAATATGTGGTCTCCTTCTCATTCAAACACTATGCACCTTGTCTTGTCGGTGGGAAAGTGTGTTCGTCTCTTGACGCTAAAGGTAAGAATACTACCAAAGGTAACAACGACACTAGTGAAGTGTTTCAACTAGAGCATCGACCTTTAGCATCAAATAGAGGAACACACTTGCATACAAAAAAGTATAGGCGAGAGTGGTTGAGAGAGATAGGGGGTTAAAATAAGATATTGTGAAAAGTGAACTAGAGTATATTTTTTATAAATTCTCTAGTTGGAGTAAGTATCCCGAGAGAAGAACTATGCATGGCCAAAATGTGAGCAAATGTGTGCCACTATTTAATTTTCCTTTAGTTGTGGTTCGTGCTTAATGTGTTTGGTTGTGTTTGTTCCTTTAGGATTAAGGTACAAGTACTATAATTATATGAAACTACAGATGGGAAGTGTTGAGATCAAAGAAGGGGCACCATGTGCAAAAATGTGGAAAAAACACTTCCAAAGGAGAATATTAAGTTTGAAAAGGGTTCTATTTTAATTTTCCATTGGTTTTGTCTTATTCATATTATGTTTCTCTTCAGCTTTTATGTTACGAATACTATAATAGGTTGCAATAACATCTAGTGTTCAGGTCAAAGTCAACACATCAAGCATTAAAATTAGGAACACACATGGAGAAGAGTAAGTGGGAATCCGAGAATGATATGAAGAAAAATATATGTTAAAATAAAATAAAATATGTACTTTGCTATTACGAAAATGTGTCTAAACTAGGTGTAAACAACATTCATCATTCAAACATATGGGTGGGTCCCCATCACATTTGGCATTTATAAACTTCGTTGTTTTTTATTTGTGTTCGTGTTCTCAAAATGAACGGTAGAAATACTGCCAAAGAAACTAGACTTGACATGTGTTCATTAAGAGCATCGACCTTTAATGTTAGATAGTCGAATGCACATGAAGAAACAAAGGGTGAGAGGGTAATGGAAATGTCTTGTAAGAAAGGACTTTTTAACTATAGTAAAATTAATAGTTAGTAAGTTCTGCAAGATCATAGTGTATGGTGTCCATTGAAATGCATCCTTCAACACCAAATATGTGGTAAGTGTTTCAACTAGAACATCCACCTTTATCGTCAAATAGAGGAACACAGTTGCATACGGAAAAGTGTAGGCGAGGGTGCTAGAGAGAGAGAGAGAGAGGTTAAAATATGATATTGTAAAGAGTGAACTAGAATATATTTTCCACAAATTTTCTAGTTGGAGTAAGTATCCCAGGAGAAGAAGTATGCATGGCCAAAATGTCAGCAAATGTGTGCCACTACTTTATTTTCCATTTTGTTGTGGTCCATGCTTAATGTGTTTGTTCCTATTGAGTTAAGGTACAAGTATTGTAATTGTATGAAACTACAGATGGGAAGTGTTAAGATCAAAGAAGGAACATCATGTGCAAAGATGTGGAAAAAACACTTCCACAAGGAGAAGAGTAAGTTAAAAAATGGTTCTATTTTAATTGCCCATCCGTTTGTCTTATTAATAATGTGTTTCTCTTTAGCTGTTATGTTATGAACACTATAATAGGTGGCAACAACATCTAGTAAGTGTTCAGGTTAAAGACGACACACCAAGCATTAAAATGAGGAACACACATGGAGAAGAGTAAGTACGAGAATGATATGAAGAAAAATATCTTGTGCCTAGACCTTAGCTGGCATCGTTAGCCAGGCAGGAGCCAAGGGCCGGGCTCGGAGGTGCCGTAGATCGGGGAACCCAAGGCTCGGGGAAGCCCCCGAGCCCCAGGCGGAAGTTGCGGTCAAGTCAGGCTTGGTCGGGTCTCTTTGCCAGAGGGTGCGCGCGAGCGTGCCCGATGGGCATAGCCCCTGAGCCCCCGGGCAATCCTGAAGGGGTTAGTCGAGGGGTTTTCTTTGTTTGGGAACCATTGGACCTGAGGCTTAACATACCTGTATGTTAGGATCTCATCAGGAGTCCCCGAGCCCTTCGTGGCCTCACCTGGCGTGATGGCGACGAAGGGCTAAATTCGATCTTCTGGTGACCAAACCCTCCTTGGTGGGGATGGCTTCCGCTGGCGAGAGCGCTGTGCCCTGCTTGGGGCCTTCTTCTCTAGTGTGATGGATGGCGCATGACTGTTGAGGCTGAGCGAAGATGATGCTGATCCCTTAGGGCGTCCATGTCGCATGGGTCTTCGACTTGAGCGAGAGCTCTGTGGACTCGTCTAGGCGCCCTCCTTTTTGACCAAAGCCTGCCGTGGTGTCAGGGTTTCAAACCACCGGCTAGTAAATTTGTATCTGCGCGTCTGGCCCGGAAGATGTGCTCGGAGGATACATAGAGTTATACTGGTTTGGGCAGAATGTCCCTACGTCCAGTCTGCCGCGGCTCATGTTACCAGCACTAGGTTGTAGTAGAGGTTACAAACGGGTGAGAGA